CTTGTGGGGTGGTTCTACCGGGAAACTAATCGGAGCACCTATTTATTGATTTATTTTTTTAGGGGGGGCAGGGGGTCAGCTGGCACTTGATATACGGTAGGCAACCTATTTCTGGGCCTGTTTCTTGGGAGGTGGTTCCTGGCGGCTTGCCGCAAGAATCGCCTTGCGAAGCATCAATCCACTGGGGAACTGAGTGGATCTTTCCGGATGTTGTGCTTTATTTGCCTTGGCGGGTTTGATGGCCAGATGCTCCATTGTCTCGGAATCTTGTGGCTTTCCTTTGGACCTGCGTATGGAGGGTGTTGCACTGAGCTCACCTGGAGTTGAGTCAGAGTCGCCCATGAAAGTCCTGTCGGATTTTTCCTGTGTCCAATTGTTGAACGCAATGGGCATGTCCTTTGCACAGAGCGGTTTCCGCATTTTCGTGCGAGTCGGCCGGTGGTAGGTGCGGCAGAACCTGCGGTCGGCGCCGGCGCGGCGGGGCAGCTCTGTGGGCAGCGGCAGCTCCATGCCGCGGTTCAACAGCGCCATGTCCCGTGCCACTCGGCGGCTCCGTCCGTTCCGCGCGCTCGTGCTCGGTGCGGTGAGCGGGCGAGGGGCTGGGGCGGCTTGCTGGTCGCTGGTTGGTTGTTTGGCGGGGGGGGAAGGCAGGAGGGGTGGGGTCTTACTGGTGGCGGCTGGGAGGGAAAGAAAAAGTAAATTGGTTCAGGGTTGAAGGTTGATCAAGACTCCCCATCGTTCTCTTCAGAAGCCACGAAGTTTCCTTGGTTGGACAAGCCTTTTTTGAAAGAAGGATCATTGAAGGGAATGGGGGAGATACAGCTAGAAGGGTTCCATGTTTTGACCGACGGCTTCGATTGGTTTCCCTGCAAAATCACACCAAGAACAGCTGTTCAAAGGCAATCCTCAATCCGTTTTGGTTGCGCAAGAGTTCCCCTTTCCAGCTTCCGTCACCGATGATTTCTCGCATTTTGTAAGGCCTCAGTCAGGCCTCAATAAGGCTCGTTTGAGGAGGCATTACGCAGGGATCGGCAACCCAGTCCTTTTCGGCTCTAAGAGTTTTGTGGCGGGGAGTCAGGGGTTGATTTCAGCCCTGGCGAACATTTTTGTTGGGGGGTGCGCTTTGCTTTTCCTTTTCCAAGAACACCCACGAAAAAGCAGGGAGAACTTTGGTTGAAGGGCAGCTTTCGGTGTTTCGAGCTCGTAGCCTTAGGGGGAGATGGACAGGAAGCCTGTGTCCTCTCCCTACAAGTTCCTCCGGTCGGCTCTGTGCGCTTCGGTTGGCAGGGCCAAAAGTTGGGCCCAATTTTTGAGAACCACCCATAAAATCTCCCCCAGCTCCCCATAGAAGCCTCACCCCCCCGTTTGTTTCCCAGAAAGCGATCCTGGGACCTGATGAGAACAGGTTCTTTTGGTTGGCGTTGAAGGGAAATGAGAAGAGACGCCACGCCCGCTTCGATCCATCCAGTTCCAAGGTGGATTCCGGGCTCAGCCAGGAGGCGCCGGCTTGCGAATCGAAGCTGTGGGTGGGGGAGCCCGCCTGGTGGGGTTGGCTTTTTTTGGGGTTGGTGCCCCTGTTGTTGGGTGGTTTTAAGGGCATGAACGGACAACCGCTGGTTTTGGGGGGTTCCCCCTATTTTGAGACAAAGCCCATGTGTTTCACGGTGTTTTTTGGACACTTCCATTTGTTTGGCGGCAGGGTTAGCTGCGCGCACTGAAGCTTCCGGCCTGGCAAGTGGACATGGGTTGAACGGCTTGCTTGCTCCCTGAGTTCCGGGACTTTGTACGGCTGTAGCTCCTTTATTTGTTTAGTTTACACTCATTTTTTGTGGCTGTCAAGCGAAATCCAAAAGGTGGGGTCCTTTTAGGAGGACCCATTCCTTATCCTCCTTGCAGGGGACAAATGACCCAAGAGGTTTCCCCCCCTTGCTTGCTCGGAGCAAGTTAGACCCTTGAGAACACTCGCACGTTCCCTTCGCTAGGTTTTCCCTCGCAAGTTTGCTGTTTCGGCATTTGTTGTTTTCTCATTTGCTTCCCGACTGATTCTTTGTATTGGCTTGCTTGCTTGATTGCTTGATTGCTTGCTTGCTTGATTGATTGGTTGATTGCTTGCTTGATTTGATTGATTGATTGCTTGCTTGCTTGCTTGATTTGCTTGATTTGCTTGATTGATTTGATTGATTGATTGATTGATTGATTGATTGATTGATTGATTGATTTGTTTCGCTTTGTTTGCGTCCTGTTTGCGTCCTGTTTGCCCAATTTTGGAACCCCTGTGCAAACCATCTCCGCGCGACTCCGCGCCACTTCACGAGGCTCAAGGCCCGACAGGTTTGGCCCCATCGGCCAAAGGGAGGTTTGGGCCCCGGAGGCGTCCCCAACTCGCCCCCCAGCTGGGCCCCTTTTGGGGTGGCCCGAAGCCGGGGGCGTTATTTGGAGCCTTCGGGGGGTGCTGGGAGGCGAGGTGGGCGCGCGATTTTCGGGCCATGGGATCGATCCGATGGACGCTGGGCGCGTGGCTGGGCTGCTGCTTCGGGCACGGGGCAGCTCTGGCGCTGCTGCTGGTGGCTGGGAGCTATGCCTGGCAGGCGGGTGTGGAATGGTCTCCATGACGGCGCCCTTTTATTGAAATGGAATTCCTCAGTTTTCAGTTTTGGAACCTCCAAAGGTGGCGATTGTCTTGCAGAAAGCCACCAGTGAATCGCAGCAAGCAGCTTGCTTGGGCGAATGGAACAGGATGTATGACCAGAAGGTAGGATATGCCCGCCCTTTCAGGCCCCATAGCGGGTTGGGATTGGCAATGCGGTGCCGTTGAATTCACCTTGGATGCCAAACCAAACAGGGCCCCGTTTTTGTATGGTTACAAGGACTTTGGTTGGCTAACTTGAAAACATAAGTCGCCCTGGTCCTTCAACGTGTCGAAGGCACCACATCAAAGGTCACTGTCGCAGGTGGAACATGGGACCACAGAGGCTGTTGCAAGGGTCCATCACCAAACCGCACTTGTTGTAGATACACACTCAGTGCCTTGTTGGTTTGCAGTCTGGTTAGCAAGTTGGATCAGCTGCAGCCAATTGCCAATAGTGGCAACCCAATTGTGGCAACTATGCCGGCAGTGAAGCGATTTCAAAGTTCCATGCTGATCAGCCAAGTTTGGTTGGGCGTTTCTGGTACTGCGAAAGGAAGCCAAACAGTCTTATGGATGGCCTCCCCCAAAGTGTTGAGTTCCTCTTATGGGCTCTTCCCCCTCATTCCTTGTGGTACCGCATCCCCACCTCACTGGAGTTGGGGGGCACCCGCATTGAGGCAAACCGGTTCTCACGTACCCTCTGTAGGTTCCTGAGGGTCGGAGGCCGGGGGGGAAGGTGCCTTGGCCTCGCTCGCGTCAGGTGGCCTTCATGATGCTCTTGGCCCACTTCATCATGACGCTGGGCATGGCTGCGAGCCTTGGCGGGAAGGGAGAGGCGCTTCGTCCTTGTGCGGACGGGGGGGGGGGGAAATGGGCGAAAGGGGCCCTTTGAATTGGATGCATGTGGGTTTTGTTGTTTTGTGCTTTTCTGTTCTGTTGTGTTGTGGTGGCTGGGGTGGCTCTACTAGGGCATATTTGGGTGTGCCTTTTTCAGTAATGAATCCCCAAAACTGGTTGGTTTTCCTGTCGGTTTCCTTGTTATAACCACAAGCAGGCGTGTCCTCAAAAACAAAACAAACATGGCGAGAGCTCCTATTTTTGACGTGTCTTGATCTCCATGCCGGTCCGCAATCGAACCCTCCTAAAATTAAACACGTGATAATTACAACATCTTGCAATTCCCTTACTCTGATTTGAGAGTAGATGGCTCAACAAATGAAGGGGGGGGCCATCTACTATTGACAAACGGAGATTATCAATTATCGGAAAATTATCGGACATGTTCTGGCCAGAGTAGATGGCAGAACTCTTTCCGGTTTTCTGAACACCCGGCTTGGGGCTGTGGCCAGGGACTTTTATTTTCTCGCACGAATACGCAATTAAGTGGTGGCAACATTAAATTTAGGTTTGGCAATACCAAAGTTGGTGCTGGCAATACTAAATTTGATGCTGGCAATACTACATTTGGTCCTGGCAATGCTAGATTTGGTTCTGGCTGCTTAAAGTGAGTACTCGGAGGATTCGTTTGGCAAAGCGCGTGCACTTTCAAAGTTTCCAGCTTTCCGTAGACCGCCTTTGCGGGGCACACGCAAAGATAGAACAATGTGAAGCCTGGCACAGACCGTACTAAATTTGTATAAATTTGTGTTGGCAGGACTGAAGCTAGTGTTTGCATGCTAGATCTAATACATGCTACATCAAGTACCGGCAAAACTAAATTTAGCATTGGCAATATTAATTTTGGTACTGATACTGTTTCTATCACTGGCATAATCTACTTTGCAATAAACACATGTACTGGCAACATTAAAGTTAGTACTTAGTACTTGTTACCTTGCGCAACCAGCCAACCCTGCATCAGCCCCGAAGGCTCAGCTCTGCCCCTCTGCCATCACTGCGGCCAAAGGCTCAAGAGCAAGGTTGCGCTGCGCCATCTACTTTTGTGACAGCGTCCAACGACAGCGCTCAACTTACGCTCTGCCCCTCTGCCGCCCTCTGCCATCACCAGCCCCAGCCCATCGCCCCGAAGGGTCAGGAGCACCGCCTGTACACACTGCCCATTTCCATGGCTCACCAACCCCTTGCGCACCCAGCCCATCGCTCCTGCCACTGCCCTATATTACTATAATTTGTAATATTCCCCGATCACAGTCTGATTGGCTCGGGAGGGCGCGGCCGGAGGAGTTGGGCCTCCCCTTCCTACTTTAAAAAATGCGCCATCACCCTTGTTTTGCCAGGCCGGAGGGGACAGGCCAAATGCGTCGGTCAGTCAGGACAGCGTCGATAGGTTGTGCCGCACCCCTTTATGCTTGAAGGGGGGGGTGAGTGCCACGCCCAAAGTCACATCAGATCGACATCTGAAAAAGGATTTCGACTCAACGACCAGGAAACATACCAATTATTGGCTGTCAAAAGTAGCTGGCGCAGGTTTTTGAAACGCATGAGATTTGTCAATAGTAGATGGCTCCGTTCCAGCTTTTAGGAAGACTAGCGCCATCTACTATTTATTAACGACCCCGCGACCCGATGTGCCATCTACTGTTTTTTGCAACTGGGGTTGAGCCATCTACTCTCAAATCAGTGTATGCCCCTCATGCAGAAACTCCAAGATGCCAGCCCCACCCAACAGGCCTTCCTGCCGACCTCCAGGAAGATTGTCGGGTTATTTTTTTTGCGCTTTCTTCCGGAAGGTTGGCTTGCAGCTCTAGCTGAGGAACTTGGGGCAGCATGAGAAGCTGTGGCAGTTCGCCAACCTCCACTACACCCTGGCGGCTCTCCAGATCTTCGGGCTGGGCACCTTGCTGAGCGTGAACGGCTTGGGCGCCGGCAGCGTGGAGGAGCTGGCGGTGAACGGAACCAGCGCAGGATGGGGTGGGTGGGGGAAATGTGTGGGGTGTGGGGTGGGGGTGGGTTTTTGGTTGGGGTGGGGGTTGGGGGTAGGGGCTCAATAGTTACTAAGATGTGGCTCCTATGACTTAAATTTAATTTAGAAGTACCCCCACACCCAATGTTTGGTGCTTTTTGCTTGGATGTTAGGACTTTAGCTTTTTGCCAACTAATGGGTTTTCCATTAAACCACTAAAAGTTAAACTGTTAGCAGGGGAGCAGAAAGTAACCGAGTAATTGTACTCATGTTGCCCTTGTACCAGTAGAGCCGCCGAAGCCGGGTGGACGGAAGTTAAATATAAGAGCTCTAGTTCTCTTTATCCTTCGTGTTTTTCTTGCTGTTTGCCATCATCTTTGTCTTTGTTCTTTCTTTGTTTCTTGCTGTTTTTTTCTGCCTGTCCTTCTTTTGTTTTGATGTCCTTTTTGTTGTTCCTTGTTTCTTTTTTCCTTCTGTCCTTCTGTCCTTCTTTCTTTCTGTCCGTCTGTCTTTCTGTCCTTCTCCCTTTCTTTCTTCTTTCTTTCTTTTTGTCTTGTTGTTCTTGTTCTTTATCTTCCCACCTCCCTTTCTCTGCTTACCTAGCTAAAAATCCAGCTACGTATCTACTTGCCTACCTACCTACCTATCTATCTTCTATCTATCAACCAATCACGCAATCTATCTATCTATCTATCGACTTGTTTTTATCCTTTCTCCGTGGATGGACCAAATCCTGCACCTGTTGAAGCCCTACAGCAATCCCACCCAGAGCGAAGCGGATTTTGTCCAGCCACAGTTCTAGTGCTACCTTCCCCATTCTTTCCAGGGATCCTTGTTTCTAGAAATCCTCCGGAAACCCATAGAAACGGATCCGGCTTTCGAAAAGAACGATGGTTGGAAAGAATGGAAAAGGAATCAACCCTGAGAGGGGTACCCTCACCAAACAAAAGCAAAGACAAAAAACACACTGACACCCAAGAAGGAATTCCTGAAAGAATCATGAGAACCCACAATCCCAGAATCAAACCTTAGAACAGTACTGTTCCGACCTCTCCGTGGACCACAGGCCACCTAGCCTGGGGCACCTCTCTGCTGCTCAGCTCTTCGGAGCGCCTCTTCCTGGCGACGGGGCTGCCGCCGGCCGCAAACGAAACCAGCCCGGCGCTGCAGGCGCCACGATGCTCGGCCGGAGCTGGGTGGGTGGCTGGCTGGGTGGCTGGGTAGTCGAGAGGTTTGGGGGACTGGAAATGGGGTGGGGTGGGTCACCCACCCCCCCTGAAAAGGGCACCCATTCGGATCCCGGGCCGGTGGATTCCCGATGTCTTTTTCTCAAGGGGACCAGGGAAAGCCTGTAAATTGCCACAGCTGCTGCTGTTGTTTTTGCTCAAGGCCTTCGATTGCTTCAGTGGGTACCTTTTTCGAGTTCTCCTTTCGGCCTGGGGGTCTTCCTAAGCACAAGTTACCAGGACATGTCCACCCAGTCCCCCCACTTCAGTCCCGGCGGCTTCCCTAAAGGTCTGAAGGTCACGCCAAGCCAGAACAAGACACACACGGGGTGGGGCAATCAAAATTAAAGCAGCCGGGGCAAACCGCAGGGTTTGGTCCATGTCTCTACTTACCGATCGGGCAGCCCATTTTGGAATTCCTGTTTTTTTTGAGCCACTGCCACATTTGGACATTCCATCGAGTTGAGGGTAAGAAGAACTGCCTGCCTATTTTTGCGCATGCCTATCCACAAGATACAAGTTCTCTCGTCTATATGTGAGGTATACCGACTCCTGCGGAAGGGTGGCGGGGGGGGGGGCACGTGATTCTGAGCTGGTGTAGCAATTCATCCGGCGGCTTTGGCAAGAAGAATTGCTGGACTTGCCTAAGCTGTTTTCCATTGTCGTTCTACAGCCCCCCTTTCACAGACAAACCCGTAAATTGGTGGTTTGGGGTTTGAACCCCTTGAGGCCCTTGATTGAAACCCACCTTTCGCCGGTTCGCGGACCCCTGGACCCTCAAACTACCCTTAAACAATTGCTGACTGCTCAAAATTGTGGGGGGTGTTTCCACTTTTTGAGGGTTGCCTACACTGAAACAACTGCTGATTGCACTTCTTGAGGATCGGGGGGGGGGCGGGTTCCACTTCTTGAGGCCAGCTGGAGGGCGTTTAGGTCGCTTCTTGCGGGTCGGTTGGCTCGGATCGGGGCCCCGATGCCCTCGTACCAAGGCTTCTTCACAGAGATGTCGCCGCAGGTGCTCTTCATTGCCCGGCAAGGCTCCGAGGACGGGGCGGGACGGGTCGGTTTGGGCCTTTCTGTGATGGGCCTCTTCAAATTGCACAGAGGCTGGGCCAATTTTTTGAGGGTACCTCCCCTTTTTTGAGGGTACCCCTGTTTTTTTTGATTTTTTGAGGGTAACCCTTTTTGGATGAGTTGAAACAGGCAAGGCTCCGAGGACGCTTCAAATTAATGAAAAGGGCCGCTTTCTGTGATGCTGGGCCCCCAGTGCACGCGGGCTTGTCTGTTTTGAGGGTACCCCTGTTGGATGGTTTTAAAGCCGCAGGAAACCCACCCATTTTGGAGGTTCCCCCATTTGGAGGCAAGCCCACGTTTCACTAGGTGCTCAAAATTTAATTTTGGGGATGTCCCTTCAAGTCACCACTTTGATAATTTTAAGGATGTCACTTTAGTGGACCGAGCGCTGTGGATGTCCACTTTCCGTGATAATCTTCGGGTTAATCCGGAGGACTCATAGAGGAACTCCTTCAAATAGATCACTAGAATAGATCACATCCGGTCCGGATTAATCCGAAGTCAACATGAATTACTGAATTACTGCGGATGGAAGTCCACGCCATGCCGTTGATAGCCCCCCCCCTTTCTTTGTAGTTTCAAGGGGGACGGACCAAGTGGAAAGCCGCCCATTTTTGGGTGGTGGCTCCGTGTCTCCTAAAAGAACACGCCCAAAAATACCTCGCGAGACGCCCTCAGGACGAGCTTTGGGCCATGGACGTGAACAACTCCCTGCGGCTGGTGCACAGCTTCGGGCAGGGCCTCGTGCAGTCTGTGCAGCTGGTGAACCTCTCCTCGGTCCTATCTTGGCCCTTCCCATTTGCTGAACTCCCATTTGCTTAAGATTTGTTTTTTGATTTTCCCCTGTTGGTGTGAAAGGGAATCTATCACTACTGGACATATTTTTTAGCGAAATGGATGTGTTCATTATCTTCCATAATTGGTTTTGAAGGGAATCTGTGGCTACCGGACGTATGTTTTTCGACAGGGGGGCTGAATTCCGTCCTGTTTTGTTGGGGTTTTTGGTTGGTTTTGAGCGGCTGGGTGTCCATTTCAAGTTAGTCAAACTTGTAGCAGGGGATCAGTTTGGACAGCCCGGCCATGGTTCTCCAGGGCTCCCCAGCAAAAACACGACTATGGCTGAACAAAAAGGGCTCGTAGGGTTCCTTTCGGGTGTTTTTGGGTGTCCACCTTCTGGATCCTGACAAGATGAGACCAACTGAATTGTAAGTTAGCCAAAGGACAACCAAAAAAGAAGATGGGCCCTTTTTCCTCTCCTTCCTTTTTCAAGACTCCAGCCCCACATCCATCGACGCAGTGCTGGGTAAACAGGGGCTTCGACGAACTGCATCCACAAACACGGAATCCCTATCTTTGGTGGGCAGTTGGCTTCAAGTAGCGGCCGGGTTTCCATGGAACAATTATCACTGCGCGGTTCGCCGCCCCCAAACCAAAAACGAAGAAGAAAAATAGGCCCCAAAAAATAATGATAGATACATAAATAAATAAATAGATAAATCAATAGATACATACACACGTAAGTAAATCAATAAATGCGTGCTTCTTTTTAGGTTGGGCCCAGTTTTCGGGCCCTCGCTTGACGTTCCCCGTGCCGCCATCTGTCGCCCCACAGCGACGCTCTCAGAGCCGAGGAACAGCTCCCTGGCCATCGAGGTGCTGCTGCCGCAGTGCGGCGCGGAGAGCCGGCGCCGGCTGCTGAGCGACGGCCTTAGCGTGCAGGGCGACGCGGAGTGCGGCCGCCCCACGCAGGCGCCGGGGGCTGCCGGGGGGCTGGGGGGGAGGTGGGGGCAGGTGACCGGGGTGTTGGGGGGGGAGGTTGGGGGGCGGGGGAGGTGGGGGGGAGGCGGGTGGGGGGTGGGGGGGAAGGTGAACCGGAGGTTTGCCACGTGTCCAGCCCAAGGGAAGAAACAGTTTGGCTTTTTCAGGCAAGTTCCATGTCCCAGGGTTTTGTTAGATTCCGCCTGCTTGGGTTGGCTCAAGCATGAGCTTGCTGGGCCGTTTTCGTATATGAGTTTGATTTTTGCAAAGTGATCTTGAAGGGGCGTTTTTTTGGTCCACCCCCCAGCCCGGAAATGAAATACAACAATGCTGTTCAAACCTCCCGTCAAAAACTGGATCGAACTGTCCACCATTCGTGTTGTGCAAAATGGGCCATGCCTTTCCCTTGTGACTACTTTGTCGCAGAAAGGGAGGGCGCCCGGCCCAAAGCTACTCGTGGATTCTATAACCAACCTAAACGCACAGCGGATGAACTCAGAAACTCCTCGCAACCGCATGGTACAATCGCGGCTTTGCCAGCGGCATTTTTCGACTGGGCCACTGTTGGAGCCATGTTAAACGGAGTTGCCTAGTGCATGCATTTATGTGAGAGATTCCCCTGTTTGGGGGAGGAGGTGAGTTCACCTAGGTGGTTCGAACATCATGGCCGGAAAGTGTTTCCTCGTACCCTTGAGGAGCATGGGGGCCCCCGCAATTCGGCTGGAATGTTTCAAGCCTTGAAACTTAGACCCTTCCAACGGTAATTCCCGCTTGTGGCCTTGCAAAGGGGATATCTTTCTTTCAGACCTGTAAAAAAATGGTCAACCCCAAAAAGGGTTCCCTTTAATAGGATCTCCTGATCAATAACCCCCTGGCCGATTAATCGGGGGGTGTCCCCATTTTGGTAGGCGCCTATTAATACTGTGGATGGACGAACTCCTGCACCACTTGGAAACCAAGGTTGAAACCATTGTTGGTATTTATACAGGGGAATCATCATTCCAGGGTTTCTTAAACTTGTGCGACATGGATTTCGCAACCATCCCATCCACAGTATTATTCATTCCTTTTCTTTTTTATCCGGGGTCATCATTCCAGGAAAACCTTCCCCATTCTTTCCAGGCATCCTTCTTTCTAAAACACCTCCAGAAACCCGGGGGAAAACAACGGTGGGTTCTTGAAAAGAACGATGGTTGAACAGAATGGGGGATCAACCCCTAGAAGCTCCTTTCTACTGGAGGAGCTAGAAGCTTTTTCCTTTTTCCTCCGGGGTCATCATTTCAACCTTGATTTTATTCTTCTTTTTTCTTCTTGCCGGGGCCCTGTCGTTTCCCGGGTGGTTGTCAGGGCAGTCTGCTGGGGCAGCTCTTCCTGGCATCTCTGCCGGCCTCGCTGCTCTCGGCGCTGCTGTGCGCACGCTGGCCGGGGCTCACGGCCACCCTGCGCCTCGGAGGATGGCACGGGGACCGGGGCCTGGGTTGGACCAGGATCCTTTTCTGGGTGGCTCCAAAGCCATCTTTCGTCTTTTTTTTTGGTTTCAGTGTTTAGTGAGGCAGTTTCCAGTTGACCACTAACAGTTGAACTTTTAGCGGGGGATCTGAGGGCAGCCCAGTTTTGAGGGGACCATGCAGGGTTGCATGTTTCTTGGTGGGAGGGTAACGTGCACCGAAAAAGCAGAAAAGAATCAAAGAACCTGGGGGTCGGCCTTGAGCCTCGCTTGGCAGCTACATGGTTGGATCTGCAAATGGCAAATTGGAAACCACTCCCCAACTCCCCAACCACTAAACCACCAGGCCCCAAGCCATCAAAAAAAACTGGGAATGGGGTCAATAGCCACAGGGGATACATGGGCCAATAGGCGACCAGCTCACAGGAAACCGAAAGGGGATGGTTCACTGGGGTCATTGCCTCGTTCCCTGATCAAGTCATTGCCTCGTTTACGGGGGGAACCATTAAACAAACACACACACAAACACATACGTATATGGGTCTGTCTTTTTTGGTGGGTACCCTGTTTTTGTGGGCTTCAAGCAAGCCAAAGGAAATCCGAGGCCGTCTGTGGGGTCCCTAAAAATAGACCACATTCATATATAAATGCACAAGTATGTATACTTATCCTTTCTCGCGCGCTGAGAAGTGGACAGATTTCAGGTTCTTGGGGCTGTACAGCATCGTAGTGGTGATCCGTCTCCTGGCGGATGCCGACCTCAGCACTTTGCACGAGCTGCTGGGGCTCAAAAGCTGGGTGAAGGAGGTTTCAAGTGGTGTCCTTTTGGTTTCCCTTAAGTGGCCCAGAAGGGGTCATATTTTTGAGCCATTTTGAGAAAAAGTCCCAAACCAGAAGGTTTTTGTAGTTCCAGTTTTGGCTGTGTCAAACACCAATCAAGGGCCAATCAAGGGGGTCTTCACAGGGCAATCTAGGCAGCCCTGAGCCACTAGTTTAAAACAAAGCCCTCTGTTTTTAGAGGACCCCCTGTTAGGTTTCATCTCAACCCTTTTGTCAGCTTCCATTGCTTGAAAGAGTGGAGCAAGTTTCTGGGCGTTGGGCATGCTTCTTGCCCCCCAGTGTTTGAAAACACAGGGGATTACAATACACACGGGGCCCCCATCCAACGTTGTTCAAACCGGCGGTGTCACTTTGGGCATTCACAGGGCCCTTTATTGGATGCATTTGGGCCAGTCTAAAGATTACCTTCCGATGTAAAGCATTGGTGGGCCTGTGCGGGCATTTCTCAAATTCCTGACACCCCCCCCCCCTTCCGGATGGTTTCAAAGGGAAAAAGCACCAAGCACTTATTTGAAAAAAAATAACTCCTGTCTATTGGAACCCTGTGGGACACTTAGGTTCCTCTACACATCCTTCACCATCTATAGCACTCTGGCCTTGTTGGCCGTGATTTTGCTGCACACGCTGCGGCCCGGGGAGGACGGACAACGCGCAATCAATGAATCAAAACCTGAGCGCCCACTTTTTTCTTTGAAGCTCGGTACCCCTTTCTTATTTTTTCAAATCGGGAAGCCAAGAGGAAGCCACAACTTTTGGGGGGTCCAACCTGAAAAAAGACACTGATTTGACTGGGCAGCATTTGACCCGGCAGTTCCTGAGTTGCCCAAAGCGAATTGAGCTGTTGACCTTTTGGGTTCCCCCTGTTGGCCCATGCTCATTCATGGGTCCTTTGAACAGCTGAGGTTCTACTAGCCTTGCTGGGTTTAGTCCCATAGTCGTGCCTTCATACGCCTTATGGCCATGTTTGTGGAACCCAAAGGGTGATGTGGCGCTTACCAGGGTACTCTCCTTCAAACTGGCATGGACCCCGCTTCCCCAGAGTTTCTGGCTCTTTTTTGGGTTCCAATGTGAACCCGCAGGGGAGTGGTGTTATCTTTGGATTTTCTGGGCCATACAAATGGGAGCTATCCTCTATGAACGCATTGTCCAGATAGAGCACCAGTGATGGGAGAGTCGCAATGAAACAGAGCTATGCCTTGCGGAAACTCCCAAGACTGTCACAAGTATTTGTCAACGGTTCAGTGGGCTTTTCAGGAATCGAACCAATTGATACCATGCGCCTTATGCGGTAAATCCCTGATTGCCAGAATTCCAATTGGGTTTCGGCGTTCCCGGCCCGGGTGCAATATCCATTTGAATTTGCTGGCCATTTTTCTCCACTCTTTTTGCCTCTTTGCTTGGGGGGGGTGTTATACCAGGCATCCAGAGGACAAAACATAACAATTCCCGTAGCTCCTGTTGATTTCCCCTTGGAACTGAATGGTGGAACGTCTTTCTTCAAAGAAATCGTACAAATCTGGACACACATTGTAGCTCGTTCTTGTTGAGGGTACCCGTGGCAGGTTGGTTTGAAGGGAAGCCGATAGTCTGGCAACCTTTTGGATTGGTTTGGGGGATTGAGCTTCTGATTTTTGGTGGGTAAGTGGGGGTTTTCCACTCCTTAAGCCCCAAACCGGCAGGCTCCAAACCATTTCGGAAGCTGAAGCAGCTTGTTCTCCAAAGTTTGACCCCCGCAAAGTCGCCAAGAGCCCAAGAGAGTGATGGAGTTTCAGACCCCTTTCAGCTTGGTTTTTCATCGGACACCCCCGGTCTGCCACCTTTTTACTGGGATCCGGAGCGAAAAACTGCGCAGCCCCTCGCAGGACTGGGAGCAGGTGAAGGCTTGGTCCTCCTGCGCCTCGGTTCGTCTCTAGGGAGAAAGCCAGGGCTTCGGTTCGAAAAAAAAACTCCCGAGCCGCTTCCCTTGAAGACACCAGGAACCCCTTCTGGTCCGTAAGTAAGTATATATATATATATATATTTAAAGTTCATGCACCCCCAGTCCGCAGAACAAAAGTAGGTATGCTACTTACCGCCTTCTTACTGCTTTAAAACGGGGACCGTTTGATCAAACGGTGGGCAGTTGCAGGGTTGAAGTGCATGTTTGCTCTTAGCAAGGATCCGAAAAAAGGTCTATGGACGTTTAACCAAAAATGGAAAGAAAGAACACGCAAACATGATTAGTGTTGCTCGGAATTGGGCAGGGTGTCCGAGCCATTTCCGTACGGGGAACCTCCAAAAATTGGCGAAACCCAGTGACCCCTGTTTGGCGAGCTTCCATTTGCTTCTTATGTCTACGAGCTTCCAATTGCCCAATATGTCTACTGTCCCTGGTTTTAAAGGGGATTCATATGTTCTTGTTTTCCAGGGGACTTAAGCAAATTGAGGTTAGGGAGAATAGAGGGCCCCCTCCAAAAAAATCCTAAAACTAGAGGATGAGCGGCCCGAACGCATGGTTTCCGCAATGTTCGGGGCAAATCGTTCAGCACGCACCGTTGTGGAACCAACCAACAAGGCACTACTGGAACAGCAGCACATGCAACACAAATAGCCCCAAGGGGATTTCTATACTCTTTACCTTTCCCCAGAAGAGCCCAGATGATTGCAAAGCCCGATTGTTTCCCCCCGCGGCTTCGTTGAAGCATAATCGCGTCTTCGAAAAGCCTAAGTGGTTTTACTGGTTTTGGAATGGTTTTACTGGTTTTGGAATGAACCTGGGGATCCGCTTTCAGTCACCCAGAAGGGATGATTCAGCTTGGCATCATCCCAGCCGATTCCCGGAATTCGAGCGCAAGAAACCAACGTGGCTTGTTCATTTCCCGTTTCAACATGACTTTTCAGGGCGTCCTTCAAAAGGAACCTCCAACAGGGGAAACCAGGAAATTTGTTCAACTTTGATACTTGGCTTCCTTCATTTCTCTTTGTGGAGGCCAGAAAAGTGGGAATCGTTTCGATGGAATCCACCGATTTGGGGAAATCCGCTGGCCCCTGCTGTGTTTTGGGTCCATGAAAGGCGGGTTTTCTTGACGAACCCTAAGCGAGGCTGCGAAGCTCACCAGTCCTTGGTTTCCCGGAAGCGAGATGTCGTTTCCTTGTTTGACTCACTTGCCCAAAGCGAATCGAC